TGGCATGCGTGCGGCCCGGGTTCGATCCTCAGCACCACATACCAACAAAGATGTTGTGTCCGCCGAGAACTAAAAAATAAATATTAAAAAAAAATAAATAAATAAAGTGTTTAAAACAATGTGCATAATATGTAGTGAAAAGAAAATTCTGAAAAAATAACAAGGTATACATATAGTGTTCCGTTAACAGGAGTTTGCTATAGGTGGTAAAAGAAAGCATTGTTTCCCTTATTTATCAGTATTTACTAAAGTGAGCATATAAACCATTATGATCAAATTTTAAATGGTGCTTTTTAAAAAATGTTTAGTTATAGATGGACACAATACCTTTGTTTATTTTTATGTGGTGCTAAGGATCGAACCTAGTGCCTCACACATGCTAGAAAAGCACTCTACCACTGAGCCACAACCTAACCCCTAAATGGTGCTTTCTTATACTTGAAGACCAAAAATAATTCATTTCCTTAATATGAATTGACTAAATTTAACAAGTTGAATTTCAGTAGCTTCACATTTGAGGACTTGTAATTTTATTAAAATATTTATAAAAACAAGTCTTCATGGATGTATTTGTAAAGTATAAAATCCTCAATGGGAGTTAGGGTAATTTTTAAAAATTCTTTTGACATTTATTATTTAAATATAAAAATATTATTTTTTAAAGTTACTGACTGAAGCAATGTCTGGCATTCACTGCCTTAAAAAATCTTTCCCAGGTGGGAGTTGTGGCTCAGTGGTAGAGCACTTGCCTAGCATGTGGGAGGCACTGGCTTCGATTCTCAGAACCACATAAAAATAAATTAATAAATGAAGTAAAGGTCCATCAACAATTTTTAAAACACTAAAAAAACACTTTACCCTAATATATACTAGACATTAGTTTATCATTCATTTTTACTTACACAGTATTTGAGATCAGAGATGTTTACATTGACCCCAGTTGATCTCTTCAGGTTCTCATCATGTGATACTACAACTTGTTCATCTTTTGTGATATGGCAGTCCAATTCCAACATATCAGTTCCAAGTGTGACTGCACTGAAGAAATAAAGAGAAAAATGACAACCTAAAACTTACGCAAACATTTAGGTTACATGCATTAGATATAATAATTCAGTTACAAACCCAAATATTCTGTAATACTGAACTATATCCTCAACAACATCATTTATCAACATTCATTGATGTGATCTTAATTTAAATAAGTGAATAATGTTGCCTCCTTTCCATAACCAGCTATCCTTAATCCTGGCAACTCTATATCATGGAAAGAATATGTGGCCAGAAGTTCAGAGACTTGAAAACCAATTCCTGATTTGTTATGAAGTTGTATAACTTTGGGCAAATAAATTTCCCTCTGAGAGCCACATCTAAAAAATGAGAGGATTACTGGGCGTGATGGCAAATGCCTGTAATCCCAGCCATTTGGGAGGCTAAGGCAGGAGGATTCCAAGTTTGAGACCAACCTCAGCAATTTAGCAAGGACCTAAGGACTTAGTGAGACTCTGTTTCAAAACAGAACAAAAGAAAAGGGCCAGGGATGCGCTCAGTGGTTAAGCGACCCTGGGTTCAATCCCTGGGGGGGAAAAAAAGTGAAAGAGAGAGGATTAAGAAATAAGACAATGCTGGCTAGTTGCTTTTATCTTATTGGAAGTTCTAATGGGCAAGAAAAAATTCAAATTGAAAGGAACAAGTAAAGTCATCTCTGATCACAGAAGACATGATCTTACATATAGAAAATCCTGGGTTAGAGGTATTGCTTAGTGGTAGAGCTCTTCCTTAGCATGTGCAAGGCCCTGGGTTCAATCCTCAGCCACAAGCCTCCTACTCCCCAAATCCCAAAGATCCTATAACAATATTCTTAGAACTAACAGATGAAATCTAAGAAAGTTGTTGGATTAACACACAAAAATTAACTGTGTTTCTATACATTAATAATGAATAGTCTGAAAAGGAAACTAACAAAACAATTTTATTTACAATAGCATCAAAAACATTAAAACACTCAGGGGTTAACCAAGGAGGTGAAAGACTTGTATAATGAAAACTATAAAACACTTCAAAAAGAAGTTAAAGATATGTAGATATGGATGTGCAACTATAATAAATGTACTTAAGATGTTAATACTACTCAAAGCAATCTGCAGATTTGTGGCAATTCCAGCAAAATCCCAATTATTATTTTTTTTCAGAAATAGAAAAATCCATCCTAAAATTCAAATGGAATTTCATAGGGTCCCAAACAGACAAAACAATCTTAAAAACTAAAAAGTTGAAGGACCAATACTTCTCTATTTCAAAATTTAATACTGTAATCAAAAGAGTGTGGTAATGATATAAAGAAAAACATATATGGATATAACAAATGCACGTGGACCAGGACAGAGAACTCAGAATGAGCTCTCATAAAGATGCAGAGACCATTGAATAAAAAAATGRACCAGTTTTAACAAATGATGCTAGGGAACCTGATATTCACATTTAAAGAACAAAGTTGGGCAGGAGATGTGGCTCAGGATAGAGTGCTTGCCTAGCATGGTATTGGGTTCAATCCCTAGTACTGCAAAAAATAMAATAAAATCTTTTTTTAAAAAGTTAAAATGATAGTGTTTGCTTGTTTGTTTTTGGTATGGGGGAATAAAACCTAGGGGTGCTTTACCACTGAATTACATCTCCAGCTCCTTTTATTTTTATTTTGAGACAGGCTCTCTCTAACTTGTCAAGCCTGTCCTTGAATTTGTGACCCTCCTGCCTCAGCCTCGTGAATTGCTGGAATTACAGGTGTGTGTCATGACACTAGGCCTGATTTAGGTTTTATACAAATTTCCAAGTCAGTTAACAAGAAACCTTATCAATAAATATACACTTCCATTGCAGAGATGAGATAATTAGTATTACAGTAACCAGATACTATAAAAATTTATCATGAGAATCAGGGCACTGATTAATTACTTTGACTGTCTGCCAATTTACATTTCCAAATATTGCTAATACAATTTGCTTCTTTCTCCTACCATTCATGTTGGTACCAGAGGGATCACATTGTCTTCTGGGTATTTACAAAGGCAGCCTAGTTTAATAACCTACTTTTATTAGCTCTTAAGAACCAGATTTTACATTCCCAAGGGCTTAGTGACTCTGTGTGTGTGTGTGTGTGTGTGTGTGTGTGTGTGTGTGAGAGAGAGAGAGAGAGAGAGAGAGAGAGAGAGAGATTGAGATGATTCCTTAGTTTTGGGTTCTATGTTTACTGTGAAGGGGGTTCTGTTTCCTTTATCTGTCTTTTGCTAAAATTCTGCTTTGTTTTTGGAATGCACTATTCTGTATTTGATTCAATGAGCAACTAGTAAGAGCCTATCAGTGTGAGAGCCTGAGCGAGATGTTAGGAAGTGAGGGATCAATAAAAAAGATTTTTGCTCCTAAGGAGAAGAGCCATATTTATACTACAAAGGAGAGAGTGTTTGTGAAAGCATCTTATAAACCACATTAAAGGACTTTTTATAAATTGTGAGATGGAATTCTTGGTCAAAATTACTTCTCTAGTCACACTCTAACATAATGAATTAATTTTCAATATATCTCTAAAGTCCTTTCAATCTCCTAGATATATCTTGTCCACATTAATGTCACATCTTAATCTCAAACATTCCACATTTTTTTTTTTGGTAGTAGGGTGTGAACTCATTGGTTCTCAACCACTGAGCCATATTCCCAGTCCTATTTTGTATTTTATTTAGAGACAGGGTCTCACTGAGTTGCTTAGTGCTTCGCTTTTGCTGAGGCTGCCTTTGAACTCACGATTCTCCTGCCTCAGCCTCCCTACCCACTGGGTTTACAGGCTTCTACCACTGCACCCGTCCAACATTCCACATTTAAAAAAATAATTTTTCTTTCTTCAAATATAGCTCTTCCAGTCTTATTGTCGTTTCAATTTCCTGGTTAATCTAAACCATGCTTCCTCCCACCAACTACTTACACTTTCTCTAATATGTTATTATCTTAAACTCCATGTTATATATGCTTTGTGAAATACATATCTAAATTAACACATAAATAAGATCTAAATTTTAGCCAGCCATCACTTTTTTATTATTTCTCCTCCAGATAATAAGGATTAGGGCCTGGTGCATTGGTGCACACCTGTAAACCCAGCAGCTCAGGAGGCTGAAGCAGGAGGATTACAAGTTCAAAGCCAGCCTCAGCAAAAGCAAGGCACTAAGCAACTCTGTGAGACCCTGTCTCTAAATAAAATACAAAATAGGGCCAGGGATGTGGCTCAGTGGTCGAGTGCTCTGAGTTCAATCCCCAATACCTCTCCTCCCCMAAAAATAATAATAAGGATTATCTTCCTCTCACTTAAGCACAGTTTCTGTCTTTTGCTGATCATGTATTATAATTCCTTCACTTTTTAAAAAATATATATCTTTATTTTTTATTTTAATGTGGTGCTGAGAATCAAACCCAGTGCCTCACGCATGCCAGGCAAGCTCTCTACCTCTGAGCCACAACCCCAGCCCCATCCTTTACTTTTTAATAAATGGTACCTTGAAAATATTATGTTTAAATAATTTTTCTTGTATTTTCTTTCTTTCTTCTTTTAAACTCTCCTCCTTCTTTTTGAGACAGGGTCTCACGATGTTGCCCAGGCTRGTCTGGAACTCTGCAACTCCTGAGCTAAAATAATCCTCTTGCCTCAACCTCCCAAGTAGGTTATAGTCCCTTAAGTATGTACCCACCATGCCCAACTTCTAGTAGTTCATGACGCAGATATGTTTGAGAGAGGAAGGAACCTTCTAAGTGTCCCAGCAGTTAAACAATAAAATATTTATAAATGAAACAAAAAAAAGTACAATCAAAAAGTATGTATTAGGCATTGTGGCACAACCCTGTCATCTCAGCAACTCCAGAGGCTGAGGCAAGAGGATCACAAGTTTGAGGCCAGCCTTAGTAACTTAGAAAGACAATTTCTCAAAATAAAAAATAAAAAGGGATAGGGATGTGGCTCAGTGGTTAAGTGTCTCTGGGTTTAATCTTCAGTACAAAACAAAAAAAGATTTTAAAAATGTGATACTTTTGGGTTGGGGTTATGGTTCAGTGGCAGAATGCTTGCCTAGCACATGTGAGGCACTGGGTTCGGTCTTCAGCATCACATAAAAATAAATAAATAAAATAAAGGCATTGTGTCTATCTACAACTAAAAATTATTTTTAAAATGTGATATTTTCAAGTGTACATCTTTAGAAATAACTTACTATATAACCTAGTGTTTCAATTTCATTAAAAAAAGTGATGGGTAAAAATTTAACAAAGAATATGGGGAAAAACTTTCAAAATAATGTGCTTCCAACATAAAGAATACTAAAATTATTTAAAGTTATGGGCAGTTTCTCCCAAATAAATCCCAGCCCACATATGATAAAGTGATAGTGTTCCTGTGCACATACACAGGAACCTATATAGAAAAATATACACATAAAATTATATACTCATATTTAGCTAAAGATAACTTGCTAGATAAACAATCTAAGTAGGGAAAATAATTTAAATTAAAATATTCACATTAATCTGTGACAGTAGAAAAGATTTTGCATTTTTGTAAAAGACTTTTGAGATTATAACCAACAGGAAAAGTAAGAAATGACAAGTAGAGGGATTCAGATGAAACTAGAAGCAGTACCTKCAAGTCTGATAACAGGAAAAATAATCTCTAAGCCTTTTTATAAGTCTTTGGTGAGAAGCAGAACAAAAACTTAGTTCAAATTCTCCTGGGCTGAGGTCGTAGTTCAGTAGTAGAATGAGTGGTTACAGTGCACAAGTCCCTGGGTTCCATCCCAGCACCATCAAAAATAAGTAAATAAATAAACAAAGAAACAAATAAAATTCAATTAAGAAGAAAAATTCTGATTTCTTAGTCCAAATTATACACATTAAAAATGCTCAAAATTGCTCAAGAGTTTGGGACCACGTAGCAAAATCCTATCAAAATTCTATAAGTCTCAGGCTGGGGTTGTGGCTCAGTGGTGGAGCACTCACCTAGCATGTTTGAAGCCCTGAGTTCGATCCTCAGCACCACATAAAAATAAATAAAATAATGGTATTGTGTCCAACTATAACTAAAAAAATAAAATATTTTTAAAAATTCTRTAAGTCTCAAAATTATATAAGAAATTCTTTTTCTCATTAAATATGAATAGGTAATGTCTTTCATTGGAGGTAGTTTTTCAGGGAAAGGAAAACAGTGTTCTCACCATTATCACAGAGTGATAATAATAATTGACTTTAAGACAGAGAACAAGAGTAGCCATCAGTCTTCATTCCTGTCTCCTACAGCTTCTCTGTGAAGTGCTCTAAAAAACATCTATATGAAATGTGAATCAATTCTAAATAGAAAAATTTTAATTTATCTTATTTAAAAAATAAGATCAACACTCATGAGGGTTTCCAAGAAGAGTACCAGATTGCAGGTTCAGGTCTGTAACTAAAACTTGTGGGCACAAAGACACAATCCTTTTCATAAATAGCAGCCGATGTAACAGTTGTCTTGTTTTCTCTTTCTCTCCAAGACTAATTAGCATTATACACAGTATGTTCCTTGTTACAAATGTCTTCTTTCAGCTTTGGAACTATAGTATCTTTGATTACTCAAAACTCTGATTTAGTTTTTCAGTTATACAGAAGCCAACCACTCTTTATAAAACACTTCAGACTAAATTAAAAAATGGGGTTTTATAGAAACAACTACTACAAATGGATGCTACACATATACTATCTTTGCTCTGTTAATCACAACACTTTAATGATAAACTGTAAAAAAGAATTTTTTTAATATACTCACTGCTGAAAGGCTTCCATTGTATTCTCCAAATTTTCTCCAGCACCTGTGGAGACATTAAATTCAAACTTCATTTAAKTAGCTATTTTAAACATTTTATTTTTCTAGAAATTTTAGTATAATGAATCCTGATGCTTATTTATTATGTAGATATTATAGTACATGTGTTTTTGAAAGAGCRCACAGTATTTTGATTCTTTAAAATTTGTTTTTGTTTAGCTACATCAGTAGGACCAAAAGTAGTAGAGCCATTGCCTAGCATGCTAGAGGTCCTGGATTCAATCCTAAGTACTAGGAAAAAGAAAAGAAAAGAAAATCAAAATAGCCACAGAAATTCAGGAGGGCTAGAAGAAACTAAAGGTGATGTTTAAGCTCTTGTTGGTTAAGTTTTCTCTATATATCCTCATAATCTCTTATGAACATCTCTACCAAGGCATTTATCACGGTGTAGCAAAAATTGTTTGTCTCTCCCCTCCTTATCTCATGAATTACCAAAAAGAAGTGACTTTTAATCACCTTGGCAGAAGGCAATATAGTGTAACAGCTGAGGATGAAACTGTAGAGTTAGGATGCCTGATCTCAAATTTTTTAATATTTGGGTGACTTTAGGAAAGTCACCTCACCTCTCCATGGTTGAACTTGCTTCTTTATTAGAATGATAATAATAGTCCTACTTCATTGGATTGGTATAATTAAATGAGTTAACATGCAAAGTGCAATATGTCATAAATTCTAAAAATGATAGCTTTTCACTTTTGAACATTTCTGAAGTTGGAGTACATCTGTCAATGGATGGTGTCTAACAGTTTAATTGGAAAGCTTTTCTCTTAACAGTACATAAAAAAAATGTGTCTTCAAATCAATGGCATTAAATTCAGTGAAACACTGTAGTGAGCATTCAGTGAAAGTGAAGAATTATTGCTATTACAATTGCCATTATCATAGAGTAACTGCTAAAGAGTAGGTACTTGGTGTATGTCCATTAATGGGAAGAGTGGATAATAGTTAATGACAAAAAGGACATATTTTGATATGAATATACAGAAAGATAAAAAAATTATCCAATGTTATATACTAGGTAAAGAATCAATTAGTGATACACATGCTAGCCAAAACACGGTGGTGCTGGAGATTGAACCCAGGGCCTTGTACATGCGAGGTAAGCACTCTACCAACTGAGCTATATCCCCAACCCACTTTTTATGTATTTTTAAACTAAAAGATTTCAGTACTGGGCTGAGGTTGTAGCTCAGTGATAGAGCATTTGCCTCGCATGAATGAGGCACTGGGTTCAATCCTCAGCACCACACAAAAATAAATATGTAAAATAAAGATATTGTGCCCATCTACAGTTAAAAATATATTTTTAAAAATTCAGTAGTTTTAAATAATTAATGAAATGCACACAGGAAAAAAAAACTTCACAGTGAATTTTAGTGGGGCCTAGTGGTCCATGTCCTTAATCCCAGCAACTCAGGAGGCTAAGGCAGGAGGATTGCTAGTTCAAGGCCAGCTTCAGCAATTTGATAAGGCCCTAAGCAACTTAGCAAGACCTTGTCTCAAACAGGAAGGTAAGGAGCTGGGGATGTGGCTCATGCGTGCGGCCCAGGTTAGATCCTCAGCACCACATACAAACAAAGATGTTGTGTCTGCTGAAAACTAAAAAACAAATATTAAAAAGTTCTCTCTCTCTCTTAAAAAAAACAAAACAAAACAAAAAAACAGGAAAATAAAAAGGGCTGGTGATGTGATTCAGTGATTAAGCACACTGGGTTCAATCCCAGGTAACAAACAAACAAAAACCAGTTATTTTCTTTTCTCCTATCTCAGCCTTCTGAGTAGCTGGGATTATAGAAAAGCACCACCTGTCTAGCTTCTTCTTTTTCTTTTTGTTTCAGGGGAGTAAAACCAGGGGCACATAACCACTGAGCCACATCCCCAGCCCTTTTCTGTATTTTATTTAGAGACAGGGTCTCACTGAGTTACTTAGGGCTTCGCTAAATTGCTGAGGTTGGCTTTGAACTTGCCATACTCCTGCCTCAGCCTCTGGAGCCCCTATGATTACAAAGGAGCACCATCATGCCTGGCCTGCATGGCTTCTTAACAGGAAGAGTCAATTCAAGTTCAGGATATAGTTTAAGTATTAACATTTAAATGTTTTTTAAACAAAATGAGGACCAGTAGCGCATGCCTGTAATCCCAGACTCTTGGGAGGCTGAGCAGGAGGATCTTGAAATCCAGGCCAACCTTGGCAATGGGCTGGGGCTGTAGATCAGTGACAGGGCACTTGCCCGTCACATGTGAGGCACTGGGTTCCATCCTTAGCACAACATAAAATAAAGACATGCTGTCCATCTACAATTAACTACAAAAAAAAAAAAAAAAAAAAAAGAAAGAAAGAAAGAAAAGAAGATGTTTTATAAAAAAAAAATACCATTTGAACATATCCATGAGAATGTTAAAATTTCCTTGTTCTAAAATTCCATTAGTTTTGTAGAAAGGGATACCTATGTGAAAAAAGCTAGTTTGATTTGGGTTCACTTTTCAAAGCCAGCCTCAGCAAAAGCAAAGTCCTAAGCAACTCAGTGACATCGTGTCTCTAAATAAAATATGAAATAGGCTGGGGATGTGGCTCAGTGGTCGAGTGCTCCTGAGTACCACTACCACCCCAGAATTACTGAGTACACTCTTAAAACTTATTGAGTACCCTAATTACATGGGTTATATCCATTATTAACTGTGTATTAGAAGTTAAATCCTACAAATTTATTTTTCTTTATTTGAAAATAACAACAAACCCAACACTTTTCAATCTTTTCCTGTGCTGTGGATTGAACCCAGAGTCTGGCACATGTGAGGCAAGCCAAGTGCTCTACCACTGAGCTACAACCCCAACCCAATCCATTACTTTTTTAAATATACTTTTAGTTGTAGTTGGACATAATATCTTTATTTATTTTTATATGGTGCTGAGGATAAACCCCAGCGCCTCACATGTGCTACTCGGGTGCTCTACTACTAAGCCACAACCCCAGCTCATAAAGTCAGCTTTTTTGGTGGTGGTGGTGCTGGGGATTCTTGTGCATGCAAGGCAAGCACTCTACCAACTGCGCTATATCCCCAACCCCTCAATCCATTACATTTTAACTTGACATTTTTATGGAAAATATATACTTTTCCAAAAACAAAAAAAAAATTAATTAAGAGTGTCATTGTTGGGGTGGGGTTGTAGCTCAGTGGTATAATGCTGGCCTAGCATGAGTGAGGCACTGGGTTTGATTCTCAGCACACATAAAAACAAACAAAATAAAAAATTCTTAAAAAAAAGTGTTTCTGCTACACATTTTTTGCAAATCTCTTTAATATCTAGCTTAACAAAAAGCAGCTAAATTCTCATATCTGCTTTATAAATACACAGATAAGAAGTTGGAAAAGAAAAAATCTTTTTTGGCAATGTATCAAGGGGCTGCAGGGGTAGTTCAATGGCAAAACACTTGTCTGGCATGCATGAGAGCCTGTTTTCCATTCCCAGCACCAATGGAAGAAAAGAACAACAACAAAAAAGATACTGCCTCAAAATCCAACTGGTATTCATTTCTACAAAGTAAGTTGCACTGTAGAATCTGAACCACATCAGTGACCTCTTCCTACTCTATTACATGAAATCCCACTAGTCCATCTTTAACTATGAATGGACCTTTCACACTTAAGATTTTATAACATTAAGCACTGGTCATACAGAAAATATTGATTCACTGAATTATGTTAATCTTCTAAGTGTTGACATATTCCATTATGTGATATTTTAAAAATCACATTTGTTAACATTTGATTTCATCAGAAAAGTCTTTAAGAAGTGGAAAGCTATCAAGTTCATGGTGGAAGATATTTTCTAAAATTCTAATTTTTGGCAAGGTGTAGTGTCATATGCCTGTAATCACAGCTATTCAGGAAGCTGAGACAGGAGGATCACAAGTTGGAGGTCAACCAGGACAACACGTTGAGACCCTGTCTCAAAATGGGGGTATCACTTAGTAGTAGAGTATCCTGGTTCAATCCTCAGTATCAGAAAAACAAAATGAAAAGAAAAAAATTCTAATTTTTTTCTTGAAAACTCAAATTTAATTATTGTGCTACATCAGTTAGATTACTTTTATTAAAGTACAGACTCACTTTATTCATTTTCAAGAATATCTCTGCCAAACACTCAAGCCTGAATAAGTACAGTTGTTACTCATTCTTTAAAGTAAAAATGTTGTTCTGGGGGGCGGGGGAAACAGTTGATTTAGCTCACAACTCAAATGACTGCACAGTTTTTTTTCCTCAAAACAAACATCATGGGGCTGGGGTTGTGGCTCTGCAGTAGAGCACTTGCCTAGCACGTGCGAGGCCCTGGGTTCAATCCTCAGCACCACATAAAAACAAACTAATGTATCCACTTAAAACTAATAATAAATAAATATTTAAAAAATCATGCTTTGGTACTTAGAAAAGGTGTTTTGTATAGACTGTTTTTAATTTTCTTTTTTTTTAAGTTATAGACGGACACAATACTTTTATTTATTTTTATGTTGTGCCAGGGTCAAACCCAGTGCCTCACTCATACTCTGGGCAAGCGCTCTACCACTGAGCCACAACCTTGGCACTTGTATGTACTGTTAATGTTGTCACACAGAATATTAAAAGTTAAATGTACTCAAATGTTGAACATGATAAAATAAATATTTTTTACCAATATTTCAAGGACTTTTTTGTGTGGTACTGGAGATTGTACTTGTGGTAGAGCATGCGCTCTACCACTGAGCTACATCCCCAATCCTTTTTGGTATTTTTAATTTTGAGACAGGAATCTCACTAAGTTGCTGAGCCTGTTCTCAAACTTGTGATCCTTCTGCCTCAATCTCCCAAGTAGAAGAATATTCTTATGTGAAATGGACTTTTTTTTTTTTAAACTGAGTATATGATGGTGAAGAATATCTACTAGTACACTTGGTACCACTGCTTTGATTCGTGCTGAGGCAATTGGAATTTTAACCCACCATTGCT